ATATACATTAATATAGAAAATTGAGCTATATATAAAGAAAAAAAATAATATATTTATGGATAAATATAAAACCTTAAAAATTATAAATCTTTGTGAAAAAACGATTGACTTAAAATATATCAATTGATAAATACATTTTTTCAAGAATTTTAAGAGGTAAGAATTTTTTTATTGTTATAATAAACATAACAAAAATACCACACTAAAATTTTATTATAAGTATCGCGTGATAAAGTATCGCATGATAAAGTGTCGTCGTGATAAAGTGTTGTGATAAAGAGTCGTCGTGATAAAATGTCGTCATGATAAGATGTCGTTATGATAAAGTGTCGCCGTTATGTTGTGATAAAGAGTCGTCGTGATAAAAAGTCGTCATGAAAAAATGTCGTCATGATAAAATGTCGTCATGATAAAATGTCGTCATGATAAAGTGTCGCCGTTAAAAAATGTCGACGTGATAAAGTGTCGCATGATAAAGTGACGCATGATAAAGTGACTCCAAATCTTACCAAATGTAAAATGTGATTAAAAAGTATAATATCAGAAATCTTCAATTTCTAATTTAAAGAGATATTTATGGCAATATAAGTATCCTGTTAATAATTAGTTTTCGATTGTTGTATTTCATATGCTTATTAAATTATTATAATTATTGTAATAGATATATAAAAACATTAAATATTCTATATTATTATATAACATTATAGATATAAAATAGTTAATAACTTTTAGAATATGGTTATTTTTAGCGTGCTTATTAAATTTCGCTATTATTTTTAAGATTTATCGAAGGTTTTATATCTAAATAGTTGAAGACAGACAATTTAAAATAATATAAATAATTTTATATTATATGTAAAAGTTTTGTATTAAAAATCAGAGTTGTTAACGCTCCTTTTTAAAAATAGCTAGCTCCGGTTCCCGCTCTTACCTTCTCAAAAGGAGCTAGTTCTCGCTACTAAATTTTTAAAAGGAGCTAACTCCCACTCCAAGTAATGGAGTGCCACTCTATAGCCACTCCCTTGATTGTTTTTTTTATAAGTACACGAAATAAAATGATATTCTTTATCAAGTTTTATTTATATTAAATGTATCAAAATATTTATAATCTCTCACTAGCTTTTAAAAGTAATAAAATTTTCAAATTTGAATCTAACAAGCATCTAAGCCTCTCCCCTAAAACCTGTTTAACAATACTAAACAGGCGCTCAACGGGAGCACAGGAGGGAAGGGGTATTGTATTTTATAAAAATAATTTTTAAATCGGGAAATTTATAAAAATAGTAATTAAATATTTGTCCAATATATTATCTTCCTGATGATCAATTTCATAGAATCCAAAAAATCTTCCAAATCATTGCAGGGTTCCCGTGAACTAGTAGCTATTTTTGTATCAGGAATTTGTTTTCTAAAAAAATTAATTAATTTATATTTTAGTTTCATATTTTGTGCATTTTTTATACATTCACAATTTAATTTGAATGCAGGATGGATAAGAGGCAATGATATTTCATCATTATAAACATTTGAAAATCTGCAATAAAGTTATTTAAATAGATAATTTATTTTTTATTATAAATCTTTTATTAATACTGTACCGCTTATAAGAGACTCTCCAAGAGTTGGCAAAACTCTAAACCTGCTAAGTGTCATTTATTTTTGAAGTAAGTTTAGAAATGATTAGATTTAAGTAATCAATATCCATATAAAGCTCCCTATCAAGGATTTTTATAGATTTTGCTAAAGGCTTCAACCTAAAATTAATCTATTTCAATAAGATAACGATTATATTAATATTTATTTGGCTATACTCTTTAATAAATTTACGTTCTTGAGAGATATAACGTATAAGCCATGGTTATCACATAAATCATCCTCTTTGTTTTTCACTAAATATTTTATCTACCAAAATCATAGATTCATAATACGAATTCCATCTAGTGTGGGCATATCAGATACCTACCCAATTTTTTGATAATATTATATGCCATATTGGTAGACATATTTTGTTTATTCCATAAAGATTGACACTTTTGGAAGGAACTTTGAGATATAATTTTAAAGCTTCTGTCAGCTAAAGCTTTCTCTGCATCAACTGTGGCCACCAAATTGATATTGTGGCAGGCACATCGTAAATGTTGTGGTAGATAATCATAGCTTTCGGCTCTGTTATTTAGAATATCATCAACATCCACAAATTGGAAATCTTCATCCACCTCAGAACTTTATCTCAAACATTCTAAAAAACAAAAGGAAAGTTATATATAATTTTAAAATAAATAATTAAGATTACCTGAACGCCTTCACAAAGTTTCTGCCATTATCAATAATGGTTTTTATTACTTTTAAATTTTGAAACTTTTATGTAAATCATTATTAATCTTGGCCAAAACATCGAAAGTGTGCTTGCCTTGAACACGTTTTGAGGCTAAAGCTTCAGATTTTCTTTGCAATGACTTTGAGTCAATCTAATAAGCTGTTACACTCAAGAAAGACCTTTATAAAAAAAGTTAAATTAATCAGGCACATTTTAAAAAGATAGACCTTCTAAATCCACCCCAGCAATCAGCTGTAGTATACACATAAGATACTTCATAAAGCATTTCTATAATATCATCCATCATCTTATCATAACGCAAACAAATCTTTGTTACTAGCGTTTGGTGGCACATCACCTTTGCTTGACAAAGGTAGGATTGTCTAAGTTGATAATGGAACTTCAATGACATAATCAATGATTGCATTATCTCCATCATTTTTGAAGGTTCATAATCTTTTTGATTAAAATTTAATAGGGATAGTTTTTTTCTCAGAAGACTTTATTTTTTGGCTAATATCTTTCTTATTATAATTATTGATATGATTTTCAATTTTTGAATATTGATTTACATGTACTCTCTAAATATATATTTATAAATTAAAATTTGTTTTATAAAATCAACTTTATTTTACTAATAATCTGACATCAAATTATTAAGATTTTTTTTAATAAGAAATGGATAAATATTTAACGAAATGGGCAGTATAAAAATTATTTGTATTTTTTTTGAGTTAATTAATTTTTAAGTTTTATTTTTTATTTTTGGCAGTATTCAAATTAAAAAGGCAGTTTATAAATATTTGCAATGGATTTTATTTTTGGCAGTTAATAATTTTATATAAAAATAATTATTTATCGTTTCTAAATTATTAAAATAAAACGTTAATAGTTGATCAAAATAAAATAAGAAAAAATATATAAAAATAAGATTAAATAAAATATAAATTGATAGTTTTTGGAAGTTACAATATATTTAAGTAAAGTCAATTAATAGAAGTTATTCAAGTTTATATGAAATAAAAATATTTTAATTAAGTTTAGAACAAAAAAGTGTTTAGTAAAAAAAAGTAATGAGCAAATTAAAATAAATATTAAAATATATTTAAAAAAGAATCATATGTAACAAACCAAGCTCAACTATAATGAATTGCCCAGAAATAATTATAGCCATTTAAAAAAATATTTTACTAAAATAAATAAAAAAATAGTTATCATTTTGTATTTAAAAGAAAGATTTTTTACTTTTAGTTGCTTTTTTAGGTTGAAGCTGCTCACTTTTGATAATAAAATAGTATTTACACATAATAAACATTTGGCCCTAATATTCGTTTCATTAGGATCATTATTATCTAACTCTTTTAGAAGAGGAAATAATTTTTGTACGATGGAAATGGATACTAGATTTCTTCTTCTATGATGACTGGATCCATAATATCAAAAATTATTTTTTATCATATATATAATCTATAAAATGAATATCAATATAACTTACAAGATTTTTCAAGAAATTTTCAATATAAAAAGAAAGAAAAACTTGATGTTTAATATTTTAACTGATTAGATGAAAAACCAATATAAAACTCGGCTCAACATTCAATATTGCATAAATTTAAAACAAATAAAATTTCATTTTTATTAAATTTTAATTAAGAAATAAATGGATTTATTAATATTTAAAAAATAATTTAATTTATACATTAAATTTTAGAGCGAAGGCGGTAAATAGCTCCCGCTCCTGATTTTTAAAAGGAGAAAAGTGTAGCGGCTCTCCAGGAGCGCCGTTCCTTAATCTGTTAAAAATTTAAAATAATTTTTTTTTAAATAATAAAAATATTTTTTTACTGACTTAAAACTATTAATTGTATTTATTTATAATTAAATTAAATATAAAATGAAATTATAAAAAAAAATTGATTCGTAAAGTTATGAACGAATGTGAACACGTCCTTTTTTTGGAGGTAAACGTTGAATGTAAACGCATTTGATTTTGCTATGAACGTTGATCCTCGAACGCCTTCGATTTTTTAGAAGTGTTTATAGCACTAATTCCACATATATCTCCTTACTTAAAAAAAATTTATTTTGCATAACTAATTCATTCTATTTAATTGAATTTATATATAAGAAACTTTTTATCAGGAAGTAAAATTAAAGTCCTACATATATAAAGAATTTAAATTATTTTTGACTTCAACTATCAAAATTTGAAAAAACCTTAGATTTAAAATGTAATCCAATTTTATAAAAATTTACAAAATATTTGAGTCTAAATTTTCAGTCTAATCGGTGATTCTGTTAGGGATCATATCGTATATAAGTGACTTTGATATTTGAATCTTTAATATACTATATAGAATATATAAATAAATGTTTTTACTTAAATTTAAATACTATTAAAATTTAATAATGTCAGATTTATAACTCCGTTCATATTTAGATATAAGTAGATAGAGTCGACCTTTTTTGAGCTTTCACAAATTATTATTTTTGACAAATTGAAATCTTAAATTGACAACAAATTTAAAACAATTATTGAATCATTTATTATTATGTAATTTTAAAAAGGCATTATTGGTACAAGCGAATTTAAAAATAGATACTTTCAAAGAGATATATTTGTTAATATAATAATTTTCTATCATTCTACGAATTTTATCAACTAATATTAGATAAATTGAGTTCAGATTGAAGATTCTTCGGAGATATCCTTTAACAGGAATTTTTTATTTTTCTTGTGTCTTTTTTTCTCCTTTTTTTTCTGGTTGGTTTGGAAATTTCTGAAGCTGTAAGATTCGCCGTCGATATCTTCTTTGAAATTTTTTTTTTCATCATCTTCTGCGAAATGTAGAGGGTGGTCACGATTTAATGATGCATTATTGGAATGATGGGAATAATTCATAATTCCATGTGTTTTCATATTTAATGATTCAGTATTAATTCTTTGATCATGTTCAGGTAGCTTGTTCTTGGAAAAATGGTCAGAAGTTTCATATTTTTCACATTTTATTTGTTTTCCTGAGTATAAACTTAACGTATCTTTTTCGTTATCTATTTCAATATTAATATCTGCATTAAGCATTAATTTTTTTTCTATAGTTTGGCTTCTATGCATATCTATCAGGGTATCGATTTTGTGTTCTATATCATCAACCTACCAATTAAAGTAAAAAGATATCATAAATTAAAATTTACTTGACGTTCTATATTGACAATCCTCGAAGCTAAACTATAATTCGAGATGTATACATCTTTGTTTTTAGTTTCTTGCTGACCAAGTATCATGTCAAATCTTCAAACAATATTTATATTTCATATTTTTGTTATAATATAAAACATCCATAGGCATAGTAAAAGGGATTCGAATATATGATTTAATTCGAATATCATTTTAAGCTAATAAAATATTTTCTCCCATCATTCCCTTTCCAACACCCCTTCCTTACTTTTTCTCATACAATGTGTCACTGTAAATATCAATAATTAAAATAAAAAGAAAATAATTTTTTAAAATAATGACAATAATTCAAAATTTAAAAAAACATTTTTATAAAAAAGGTGTAAACCAAAATTAAAGCTTTTACAATAGTTGGACATTAAGACCTACAATAAAATTTCTTGGTAACCTAATCTAATGGTGCCCCCCCCCCGCCCTAACCAAATCAAGAACTTCATGGGCATTAATTTTTTGACCAAATCCGCCCAGGCCCAAATTAAAAAAATGTATAGGCCAGGGTTCGGCTAGGCCTATATATAATATTAAAATAAATTTTACGCCAAGTCCAAGCCCATAATTAGTTTCACTATAATTTTCTAAGCCCGACCCAAACCCATATTCAAAAATGTAATTTATTTAATAAAAATAAACAATATTTAAGTGTATTTAGGCTTTCATTTTGATTTCAATACTGAAATTTATATTTATTAAAAGAAAGAAATGATAATATTTCTTTATGTTAGCAATTTTAAATAAGCTAAATTTAAATTTAATAATTTTAGGCCCAAGCCCATTAAAAAAAAATTTTTTAAACCCAGGCCCAGCCCACTAGAAATATGATGGACCCTGCGGACCGGTCCGGCCTATAAAGGTCTCTGAGCAGAATCCTCGTCACGTCTATGAAGACATCTACAATAAGATAACAAATTGTGTGATAACATCATTTAGCTAATATTTCTTCTAGCTAGAGTTCAATTTCATTTCAAGAAAAAATTAGTGCGATTGAGGTAATATCAACAAAAGAACCGATAATTTAAGACTTGGGTAAATGAATAACCTATAAATTAAAATATATAAATAAGTAACAACAAGTAAAAATATCTAGATCAAAAATGTGATATCTGTATCTAAATACTATTTTAGAGGTATCTGTATCAATTTGTATATAACTCTGATATAATTATATTTTACGCTTTTTTATATTAAAAATAATAATATTTGAATTAAATTCATTTAATAATATGTACGATTTATTTCATTTCAAAAACAAACCAGAGAAATTTTATTCTATGCAATCGATAATGACGTGTAAATTTTATTATTGTTAAATTGCTTGGTTGGGTCGAATTAGCATGATTTTTGGTTGGGTTTTTGGTCGAAAAAATGAACCAAACCCAAAGCAACCAAATTGGTCGACCTGGTCGACCAAATTCATAGACCTGAGCACCGACCCAAGCACTGACCCGGGCATCGACCCAAGCACAGACCCAAGCACTGACCCGAGCAACGACCCAAGCACAGACCCGAGCATCGACTCAAGCACCGACCCAGAGCACAGACCCGAGCACCGACCCGAGCACAGACCCGATCACCGACCCAAGCACCGAACCGAGGCACCGACCCGAGCACCAACCCGAGCACCGACCAAAGCATCGACCCGAGCACCGACCCAAGAATCGACCCGAGCACCGACCCAAGCACAGACCCGAGCACCGACCTAAGCACAGACCCGAGCACCGACCCAAGCATCAACCCGAGCACCGACCCAAGCACAGACACAAGCATCGACCCGAGCACCTAAATCAACTTATAATAATTTATTGTTAATGTTTTACTCAATTATATGCATAGAGGAAAAATATTTCAATAATAGTCTTTTATAAAAAATTGTATACTTATATTCAAAATTAAAAATTAGAGGACGAGTAATTTAATTTCATATTAATTAAATAATTGATATAGAATTCGAAATAATTACCTTCTAAGACCGGGAAAATTTATTATAGGAATTTATCGATTTTTAGATATTTATAATTCATATATCATCGAAAAATGAGGATAATTTATGTTGATTTAATTCTTGCCCTAAAGTTGTAAAAATTGGCTAAGGCTCAAACAGATTAGATATGCTGGCTCAGGAGTTGACATTAGTCACCTCAGGAGTTGACTCTATTAGGCCCGACTTTAATTTTAAGCTGAAATGCATTTATTTGTTGTTTAACTCTAATTCGATAATGGATATTACAAATTGATGTATAGCCTAAAATTGCCTTCCCATCAAAATATTTTTACATTTATCCAAAATATCCCTTTAGCGAGTAGTTCTAGCTGATCTTTGCTCACATATATCGATGGAAAGATCCTTCAGTGCACTACGAAGTAACCACATTACGAAATACATTTGACAAATATACTTTAGACGATATTTTAATCATAAAACTTAATATAAATTTGTTAAACAACGTTATCTTTTTTGATATTCATTTTATTAATATTTGTGAATAATTTTATATTTGTCATAGAATAAATAAAATAATTATAATGAAATTGTTACGACTTTTGATAGTTTTGAAAGAACTAATAATTACCCCCTATTTTTTATAAAAAAAAATCCATATTCATAGAGTTAGCTAAAAATTTATATATTTTTTTTGATTTATTATTTTTTTTTATTTTACTATAACAAGAATATAAATAATTATTACTAAAGTAAAGAAAAGAGGGAGGGAGAAGGTTTATATTTAATTTTGACTTGGGAATGAAATTATTTTAACAATAAATAAATATTTTCATTATGGAATTAATTTTTGGGGGAAAAAAAAGAGAGGGTAATAGAATTGGAAGTTAGTTATGCTATTATGAAAAAAACAAAAAATAAGTAAAAAATGGAAGTTATTAATATTAAAAAAAATAAAACTGAAATTTTTTTCGGCAAAAGGATTCAAAACAAAAGTAGAATATAAATAGAATTGTTTTTTTAAAAAAATATTAAATCAAGGAAGGAGGGGGAAGGGTATTTTTAAGAACAAAATTATATTACATACTTTTAATATTATATATATTTTTTTATGAGATATTATATATCTCTTAAAAAATTTTCTCTATGTAGGGGAGACCGGGGTAAAGCGATTGACGGGGTAAAAATGCTAACGCGAATAACTTTTTAATCCTTGAGCACAAAGATTTTAAATTTGGTGTGAAGATGTATTTTTATATCTAATTTCTTACCTATGTTCATCTTTTAAAAAACTTACCTGGTTTTATCTATTTTATCAAAAAACCGTTTTTTACCCAAAAAATATAAAAATCATTCTCTAGTATATTTTGCTTTTACTAAAATATACATATTCTCAGGATTCAAAATTTAGCACACATGTTCCTTAATGTAGTTGTTATAAAATAAAATTTATCTGACATCTATAGCTATACTAGAAGTCACGCAATATCGATGTTTATAATATATGTCACCTTGAGGTAAAGCTGTTATGGGTAAAACGGTTTAAATATATAATTACAGTAACACCAAATAATATATTAAACGGATTCTTAGCTTGTGGCATAAATCCTTTAAACCCAAATATATTTACAGATCAAGATTATATCTGCTGTAATAATTAAAATGCTAGCTTAAATATTGAAATTGAAAATAATGAGGAAAATCTTACAGTGAATAATATAAAATTTATGACTCAAAACAATGACAGATATTTCTTTAAAGTATAACTAGGAATTATTAGTCCCTTAATGGGCATGGTGGGCATAGTTTATTCCACTAACTTTAGGTTGGAATTGATTGTTTCTTATAGAAATTACTGCCTTAATTAACTATTAAACATGACGTTTATACTTTTGAAATTAATTTAATCACTTAAAATATTTTGGAGTATTTGACCGTATACCAGGCCAAATACTCCTCCCATCAATTGACTTAAATTGAACGGTCAATTGACCGACTTGCCAACTCTGATAAAAAGTATTCGAAAATCATCTTCAAAACCTAGTTTATGGTGTGTACATCCTATCTGTTTTGAAAAAACGATTTAAAAGTTTGGAAATTTGTTTTTATAAGGGCAATGTGTGGAATAATTGTAAGCAGAAGCTAATCTGATCATATAAAACTTAGATTGTTTCAATCTAATACGGGAGACCTGACCGGGGTTATTTTTATCCATAAAAAATAAGTGTTATAAAAATAGACTTAGCAAATTTATCAAAATATAGAATTTTAAAAAATATCATGGTTTGTCAAGTGATTAAATCTATATTTTATTTACTTAATTTAATGACCCGTAAAAATTCCCTCAAAACTATCAAAAGTCGTAACAATTTCATTAAAATTATTTTATTTATTCTATGACAAATATAAAATTATCCACAAATATTAATAAAATGAATATCAAAAAAGATAACGTTGTTTAACAAATTTATATTATCCATTATCGAATTAGAGTTAAACAACAAATAAATGCATTTCAGCATAAAATTAAAGTCGGGGCCTACTAGAGTCAACTCCTGAGGTGACTAATGTCAACTCCTGAGCCAGCATATCTAATCTGTTTGAGCCTTAGCCAATTTTTACAACTTTAGGGCAAGAATTAAATCAACATAAATTATCCTCATTTTTCGATGATATATGAATTATAAATATCTAAAAATCGATAAATTCCTATAATAAATTTTTCCCGGTCTTAGAAGGTAATTATTTCGAATTCCATATCAATTATTTAATTAATATGAAATTGAATTACTCGTCCTCTAATTATTAATTTTGAATATAAGTATACAATTTTTAAAAAAAGACTATTATTGAAATATTCGTCCTCTATGCATAAAATTGAGCAAAACATTAACAATAAATTATTATAAGATGATTTGGGTTGGTGCTCGGGTCGATGCTCGGGTCTGTGCTTGGGTCGGTGGTCGATGCTTGAGTCGGTGCTCGGGTTGGTGCTTGGGTCTGTGCTCGGGTCGATGCTTGGGTCGGTGCTCGGGTCGATGCTTTGGTCGGTGCTCGGGTTTGTGCTCGGGTCGGTGCTCGGGTCGGTACACGGGTCGGTGCTTGGTTCGGTGCTTGG